GTTTTTACCAAAAATACTGAAAAAAAAAATCAAAAATGTTATTGACGGAAAAATAAAAAAAAAACGGTTTTGGAAAGTAAATATTGAATAAAACATTTTTTGGAAAGTAAATAACTAATGGTTCTAGATTTAGGGGATTTAAACTACTTTTGGTAGAATAGACTTTTTACCGACGATAGAGATTGCAACTGATAGTAATGAAGCAAATGGTGGAATATGCAATCTGCGATACGTAGAACTTGTGTAGTTAGTAGAATACTTCCTTCTACCACTTGTAAAATGATACAAATTCGCAGAACACCTAATCTGCTAGTAGATTCGACAATGGTAGAGGGAAAAAATAATAATTTTCTGTCATAGTTTTTTTTGAAAAAAAATATAAACATAAATCTATATGCCTTGTACATTACTATTTTCTATTTTTCTGATTTTATAAAATTATAAAAACTATTTTTTTTTATTTTCCAATATTAATCAAATGGTAATATAGGAAAAAGTTGGTACAAAAAAGGCAAATGTTATTTTACGAAACACTAATTCAATGTGAGTCAATTTAGTAAAATTCCTTTTTTTATTTGGTATGATTACAAATTGGGTTTCGATTTGGTTTAAAGAGATACGTGGTTGTGATATTGCAATTATAAGAAGGAATACTGAGCAGAAGACAATAGTTTAAAGAGATTGGGTTTGATTATTGTTCCCGATGATGTTCCTTATTCTAATATTATTCCAAAGTCAATAGTTGGAGATTGGAGTTAATGAATCCCCAAAGTCCTTATTATAATAGTGTCCAAAGTCCTTATTCTAATATTATTCCAAGGATAAAAGGTGTTAATGAATCCCCAAAGAAGAGCACGACAAAAGTAAGTCGAGAAGGACGAGTAGGGCATTGTAGTCTTTGTGGTAACGAAGGACACAACATAAGAAGGTGTCCAAGCGAGGTATACTTCATTTCGATTATTAGTTTTTCATTCTTTACTTGTATGATCTTCAACACTCTTTTTGGCTTACTATTTCTACATTTCTCATAGTCTGAAGCGGATAGGTCAAAGCGTAAGCGGCTGAATGAGGAAGCACGAATGCAAGCTCGAGTGGCAGCTCAAGTCGAAGGTGTTTCATCAACTGCACCGCAAGCAAGCCAGCTTCAGTTCGATGCTTAATCACATGTTCGATATGTTGTTCTTTTTGGAATTATCGGCTATGTTAGATTTTTTTGGGATTTATTGGCTTTGAGAAAGAGCTATAAGTATTATGTCAAACTTTGTTATATGCAAAACTTGTTTTGTTTTGTCTTTTTTACTACAAACTCAACCAAATACATCTAACTATTAAGTGTTAACTAACACAAAATTTTACATTTAGACAATAACAGATTCAATACATATTACAGAGACATTAAACATGAAGTTCCAAATACTATTAAGCGAAAACAAAGGCTCCAAAAGGAGAAACAAGAAACCCTAAAAACCCACTTATGATCATGCGTTGACGATACACGACGACTTCTATGAATCCCGATGAACGTTTCTCTCTCTCAAGCTTTCGAACGAAATCCCAACTCTGCGACACAACCCTAAATCCCGATAATCTCAATCTTTCCCCAGAATCCTTCACTCTACAACACTACATTGATAATCTTAAATCATATATTCCCCTGATGCAGCCTCACAAACAGAGGTTACATGGAGGATGGATGGCTCGAACCGGCCGTACGGCACCTGTAGCGAGTCGGGTAGCGATGAGCGATGGAGGTGAAGCGATAGGCGGATCCGAGTGCTGGCCGTACGACGCTTTCACTACGGACAAAGAGATGAACGAGTGGATGCGAGGATGGAACGAAGTCACCACGAGCCGGATGGAAACAACTCGATACTGATGGAGCGAACAACTAGAAATCCCGGATTTCGAAGGNTGTTCNAGAGAAANTNNTTNANNA